ATGGGTACGGTAAAGAACATGTGTGTTACGGATCGTCTTGTGTGGCCCTGAAGTACTAGAATACTAGAATTCTTTGCAGCATCTCATAATTTAATAATGAAATGACACACCATATTCTAACACTTCTTTAACCATGTTCACAACCTGCGAAACAGTCTTCCAGCAGCTTTGTAATTTGTCTTCTCTGACAATGTTTCTGCACAACGGCAATGTAAAATCTAATTTAGTCACTATATGAATCACTGTTAATCACATTGGGAGGTCCCATTCCGAAGATTCTAAGTTTGTGCACATTTTAACTTCGAGGATGTTGATGTTTTTCTCACAGTGTGGTACCGCGAACAGTGCTTCTTAAATTTAGAGCTTGCGTGTGTACATATTGCTCATGTGACAGATCGTATACATTAACGCATTCTATTATAAACAGGATAGTAAGTCCATCACAGATAACGATAACAAGAACCAAGGTTGCTTCACACTCGGAGCCTTTTGAAAATTTACAAGAGTTCATGGGAATCAGAGCAGAATACTACTTTTGCTTTTGCTTTTGTTGTTTTTTCTTTTTCTTTTCTTTTTTTTTTTTGTTCGTTTGTTTTTTTTTTTGTTAAAAAATGTCCTTAAGCTTTATTGTTTCTAATGAGATCAGAGTCTTTCCAAAACCTAATTGAACTGGGAACGAGTTCGAACAACCACTCTTCCTAAACACCACTACATCAAAGACCTTCTGAATACGTTTTTTGTTAGTATTTGGTCATGCTCATCAARTAAGCCATTTTTCAATTTGTGTAAAAACATTATGAGAGAAAAAATGAAATAATTTCGCTTATAAATCATTATATTTAATTTTTATCAATTTTATCAATTGATCAAWCTAAATGTATTTTATCACGAGAGAAGTTGTCGTTTTTGGATGCTGCTCTGAAAGACMTATATTCTTTGTTAATTTTCAAACTGTTTAAAAACGCTCTGCAAATACGCTCTCAGTAACTTTATTGGTTTCAATCCTGTCTTGGCACCAGTCCTTTTTTGAATTCCTGAAAGGTYGATTTGTCAACATTAGCAGGGGCACTCCAACATTAGCAAACTCATTACTAACTGTTATTTTTTTAACTACTTTTTCTACTTTAAAAAAAGACGACGTTTTTCCTTGGAAACAGATGTAAATCCTGACTTTGGAAACTGTTTTATCCTACGTAAATTAATTATCAACTCAAAATCCWTAAAAACAGTCTCTAAATCAAATTAAAAAAAACTTGATGGCAGTAATTGCATAATRCAGCTTCCTATATCTATAGTTGCTATATAATAAATGATTGTTTATCACCAAGTCACGTGTCTCTTTAGCAGTTTGCGCGTTTTTCTTACAGTAGCTTTAATCGGCCTCTATTATCAMATTTTTGGCAACAAAGGGGTAAAGTTCAGCACTTTTCAGTGTCGCTATACAAGGGATCTTTTTGATTGCCATAATAACTTCCAAATGTTTTTCTTAGTTTACAAGCTTAAAATACACACCAAATTGATTAAGAATCGAACGATTTGGCATGGTAGCCAAAAATCATGGGAATCCGCGATCAAATACATGCGCTTTCTAAATCCTAGTCAACAATACTTCTTAYCGTAACCTTGGAAGTAGAAAACCTCAAAATCATAAAGAAATCAAACTATCTTATTAAGGTGAAGGGAAATCTTAATGTATTTGAGAAATCTTTACATATGAAGAAAAAACTCAAATATCGGGAAATACAACTAAATTCTAGACATTTTTAAGGAAAATCTTATATTGGATAACCTAGTGAAATTTAAAAAAGGTTGAAAACGATGACAGATATACTTTCAAATATGTCGTAATTAGATACTGAAAGAAATAGAGAAAGCAACATGGCTTTTAGACTACAAAGCAGCACGACTCGGCTTGATCTCCYGACCGCATTTTAAAAGATAGTTTTAAAATACTATCTTTAGGTGTTTCTTTATATATTTTCAGCTTTTCCAAGTTTATAAGGCAGCACTTCGCCAAAGAGGATGACTAAAGATTTGTCCTGCTATGTTGAGAAAATAATTGAAAAAGGTGTTGGAAGTCTACTCAACAAAATTAAAAGAGTCGAATTTGGGCTTGGTCGAAGTTGAACTTCAGCCTTAAAGAATAAAGGATAGTTTTCCTTTTTTTGTTTTTTAAATGTATCGATCTACCCTCCTCCTCAGACGTCTGTTTCCTTTCTCAAAAAAAAAAAATAATAACGCGCTTCCTGTGTTGGACTATAAGAGAGCAGGACTAGTATGAGATTAGAATTTCTTTCTTCCCAGTTCTCTTTTTCCCTATTTTTTCCACAGGGAACACGAAACTCAAAGAGCAAGATTCTAGAAAGAGGCTATTATCAACCATTTAAGGGTGAGAGAAGTGGGAATACCATATTGAGTTACGTCTAATCTATCTATGAAAGCCTACTTTTTTAATTAGATGTGTTAGTAGGTGTTAAAGTCTATTTATTACCATTTACCATTCTTCTAAATGTGAACACACRGCGGTTCTAAAACACTTACGTAGGTTACTACGTTATGAAACTGCTATCACAATTATAACCATTTGATTCYTAGCCGAGAATTGAATGGTTTTCCATGCAAGAGCAAAACATCTTTGACATCTTTGACAATTTGTTTGATATAGTTCTACATTACTGAGCTACAATCAAAGGGAAAATTGTCTTCATCACGATACTACAAGGCAAACTAATCCTCTTATATCTTGTGACTGAACTATTCTAATGCACTTATATAGCTGCTAATCCAACACCTCATTCTTCTGTGTTTTCCTCCGGTTATGTGCATTCTTGCGTCGGTACAAGGCTTGATCTCTATTATTTAACAAGCCTCTATGTTCATTGTTCTTATTTTAACACTAATATCATGTCGATATTTTAATTCTTTTTTCTGGACAAGATGTTAATGATATCGTCCATGACCACTTGTTAAGTTGTATAGCGTTAAGGTTTCTCTAACTAAACCCAACGTTTGGCTATTATCTCAAATCACTACTCAGTCCAGGGTTCAATATACACAGTATATCTGTAAATACCRACGACCGATCCAGACGAGATTCATAACCAATACGTCGAAGATCACAAGCTAATTGTCCACATGTTGGCAACGCCCATACGTGTACTTTTTATGGTACAGAAGCCCTTTGTTTAGAAGTAAGTGACGGATGTRTTTTGRGATTTTTAGCTTTCTTTCRAGTCGTCTTCCCTTGAGCTTTTTGGCTTTGGCGTTTGGTTTACAGAAGAGCTTTTCTGAGCATGCGCAAGTAAATTCAGAAACCTTTAAAAAAAATAAATAAATCAATGAAAGCATTTAAATTCTGAGAAAAAATGCTATTTGTTGAGATCGAATTGATCACTGTGCTTGAATTAAATTTACCAAGACTACTGCTATAAAGTATTGCCTGATTTCATGTATAGTGACTTGGTTCAAGTTCTTGAATTGAATTGAATTTATATCAGGCGACTTTGAAATAGAGCATCACACTTTGATACTTGAAAAATGCAAACTAAGGAATGATTGAACAAAAAAGGTGACATCATTCTTCATTGTAAAATTACATTAGAAGTAGCATTTCCAGTTCTCAAAGGCAACATGACTGAGGAGTTTTAAACTCTTCAACCAAACACAAGTCAACATAAACAGTGCAAAAGGTCTATCCCAATTCCTTAGTTGACGTCACATTATGTTTAATTTTTCAACTTTCAAATGCCTACATAACTCAAAAAAAAAAAACCACGGTAATAAATGATGAACTTATTAAAACATGTTAATTGACATCGTCCGAATAGACTCTCTTAAAAGACGTGATTTCGCGCGTGTACCTGATTAGATACCCTTACAATAAAGCAATTTGTGCATTTTACCTTTGTGACGCATGGCTGACCCCTTTTAAGGTTACTTCTGCAAACTCCAAGTTTCTTTAAACAACATTTGCCATCTCCACAATCTTYATCACTACTGCAGTTGAAATATGGTGGATCAAATGTAACAATCTTTGGTACACATGCCCCTGTTGCATGACGGGACCGTTTTAGAAAGCATCCTAATCCATCTGTACATTTGCGCTTATGCCGCGCTACAACTTTTACCTGTCCAAAGATATGGTAGCAGAACTCAGTTATCCTACAGTCGGARTCAWTYCTACAMGAGTWTTTCTTCTTKGGTGGCGAAGGCATACGTGACTGAATTGACTTTGTAACCGCACGCATTTTAAAGCAAATATTTGTCATGTTGTGGCAATAGTAACCGGCTTGACAGTCTGTATCGGTGGAACATGCAAACCTTGACTGCGATGTTGTAGTATTGACTGATGAAATATTGGGCTTCATCAAACACATCTTGAAAATTGTGTGACAATATTGCTGTACTGCGCAGTTAGAATCGTTTTTGCAGGAGATGGCACTGGATTTTGTGGTAACGAGAGTTGGTRTTGCAAGTATATCAAGACATTTTTTGAATTGTTGGTGACAGTATTTGCCGGCCTGACAGTCAGAGTCGTTGAAGCATTTGAGAGCAGTTGGCTTCCGACTGTTTCGTATTGCTGGAGCCGTGAGAATGGGAAGACATATGACAAATATGGGATGACAGTATTCGTTGTTGAGACAATTGCAGGGTGATTGATTCCTGGTCGYTSTTGCTGATACTTTTGATTGCAAATTTACGCAAAATTTAAAAATTGCRTGACATGATGCTAAAGGGCTGGTACAGTCGTCATCTTGCTTGCACTTGACGAACTGAAAATAGGAGAAAATATTGTAAATTAGGTACTAAATGTAAAATTTGGAATATTACTCCTAACAGATAAATCGAATCGAATTGTTAGTCATTTTGTTGCAAACCGTGAATGTGGACTTYTTCCAAAACGTGCTAAAATGATTATGTCCTAACTTACAGTACAGAAATCGGYGAAAACAACTTTGGAAGCCATAAAAAGCTTTGATTTGATCATAATAAGAAATATATGCCTGTGTCTTTGCTAGTGAAATTATATAACGCATACGAGGTTTTTCTATATATTAGAAAAAAGAAAAATGTATTTTAAGTCATAATTTGCTCCCATATATAATCATATGATAAACAGAATATCCMTTTCAACAGAAAGACCACAGTGAAAAAGCGAACCCTTGTTCTCAAAGTATAGAGAATGCGACAAACTTATGTTTGTAAAGTGTTCTTACTTATATTTCGGAGAATTTAGGACTTATTTATAATTATTTGAATGATAAATTGATATCAACAAACTTGAGTTTAGAACGCTGAAAACATCATGTCGTGCAAAATATCACAGAGTAAGAAAATACAGAATCAGTGGCCKGTGCATCTGAAGATATGTAAAGCGAGGCACTAATGCTGCGCATGATTATGAGATGTGTTCTGACGTCATAAGCAGCGTGGAACAAAAGCGAACACACGATCATCACAATTTAAATGCATTAAAATCATTCAGCCGTGATGAAGTCAGCATTATGAATGTTCGAACACCGATAATACACTTTATTCCATAAACATCAATAATGGTATATTAAGAATGTTCTAAATTTAACAGATTAAAATACAAACTTAGAAATACAACTATAACAAGATCATACCATATTGCACAAATCCATGGCTAGAAATTCCGGACATTTGAGCCCGGGACGAGTCAGCGGGTTTTCCCACCAAACTAGATGATCATGGATCGCTTACGTGGGCTTCCTGTAGCTGCGACAATGGTATTTCATTTTCACGATACAGTCTTTGTTTGTAATAAGTCAAGACAGAATTAAGTTATAAGTTATTTATGACATCATAATTTTTTACCGAACTGAACTCAAGTAACTTCTTTAGATATCATGTCTTTCTCAGTTTTCCAAAATAACTAGCTCGACTTTACGCTCTAAGAGCGTCTTTATTATTCAAAATATGCAAAATACCTGAAAGTTCATATAAACAATAGAAACGGTACAGTCTTTGCAGTTTTGTCAGTGTCGTATAACTTTGAATAATATTTTGATCGTTTGAATCATGTAAGATCTTGTGTTTCTGTTCTTTTTATTTGGTGTATAATTTTACATCTGGCGTTCTGTGCCATCATCAAACACTTCATATTTTTGGATTTGTGTATGTTTTTCAAGTTAAACAATCACCAAAACAAATCTTCATACACAATATAGATTTTGTATACAGAGTTCAGTAATTCACACGTGCATGAGGTCAAACAAATCGTTTAGAAAATGAATCCATCATTATTTTTCAGATGAGGTTTGATATGTTTTAGTCCATCGAATGATTATTCTTCTGTCAAAGTATGAACCTTAAATATCCATGTGATTTCATGACATCGAACACTTGTTGTGTGGCGAGTAGTGCTCTTCGAGTCGGCGATAGAAAATGTCCAGTCATTTCTGCTCGAATCAACCGGTAACCTTGAATTATATACCTCATTCCATGTCGTTTGGATGGTAATCAGTTGATTTTGTAAGATTTTCAGCTCTTTAGAGCATTTTAGCTACATTTTAGAACCATTTAAAACGAGACGACTTTTTCCCGCCGTCTGTCCGCCATCTGCAACGCAGGCGCTACCAATTTGAAGCGTAATATTCAGTTGCATTTTTTAAGTAACAATGCGCGTAAGAACTGTAGAACTCTCTATTGTTCTGTRGCATTGCAACTTCCCCATATACAAATGTCTTGGCTTTCACACTGATTATATATAAACCCATGGGTAACTAAAATGTGGATAAACTCCATTTTGAAACAAAGTTTCTTTTGTATTAAAACCTCTTATCCAATCCTAAGCACTCAAAACAATAGCCAAAAGAAGCTTCTCATTTGCTATGTTCCCCACATAGAATTGACTCAATATTATAGCTAAAGAAAGCTTTYATGAAGTCGGAATCAGATATTAAATAAAATATTAGAAAATGCGCTAACTTGTGAAATTATAGCAGATTTTCTTGTTTTAACCAATGGGATGGATGGATTATACAATACACAATTAGCACCTTCTTGTATTCCTTTGCCGTTTGCTTCTATAGTTCTTACTCGGGGTATTACTTAAGACGTAGTCTTCCACAGGAAGCCCACGTAAATAGAGCTTTCTACAAGTTCCCTTGACAAGGTTTGAACTTTTGAAGATCAAATTTTCTACTCTTGTGCAACGATCCTTTATCTTAATACAATACTGGGTTAAAATCGAAACGTGCAAAACATCGACAAACGTGTATTGGGATAGCAAGCCCTGTTCCTTGAGTTCATAGTGGCTTGTGAGGTGCTCGTTTGGAACGTTCATAGTGTAAATAATATTATTTGCTGGAACACACGTTTGCCTCAGGTATTTTAATCAATGATCATCAGTTGAAATGGTGATCTTTTGTTTATACTTGTGCATCTCTAAGGAATTTAGAAGGTCTGACATTGTTTACACTAAATAGCATAGACTTGATTGGTCTATCTTTCGTTCGTATTTCCCGCTATTTACCAGTGCGCGCAAGGCGCCAGTAAAAATCGCCAAAATTAAAGCAGTCCCAGTCTGAAAGCCACGTTTCTAAGCTTTATTTTGGTACCAAACATGGCGAATAAAATGGAAATAAGATGGAAGATCGAGGCCAATTATTCGCGTGAAACACGAGTCGTCGCCAGCCATTTCACCGTCAAGCTATTGTTTTCAAATTGTTCGATTTCTAGTACCAAAAAGGACGCTGTTTATCGTCTTCAAAATAACTTAAAATCGCTGCGTTTCTAGGTCAATGTGTGGACTTTGAGAAATGATCTTTAAAAAATCAGTGACATGTAAGGAAACACGATCAGCTACGGTGAAAGTTCGCTTCTTCGCGGATTTTCACCATATTAAAATACAAGGGCAAAGGAGACGACGAAAGGAAAAGAAAATTGTCAAAAAGGACGCTCTTAACAATTTCGTGTTTATTTGGCTTTCCTACAATGGAATCAAGAATAGTTTCCCCATAGGATTTCATCTTGGAAAACGTTCCAGGTAAAACAGATCAAAAGTTACGATGTAAGCGCGACTTCAACCTAAAAGTTATTATTTTCGTCGAGCTTTCGGCTCACCGAGCCATTATCAAGACTGAATGAAAAAACGTTACATTTTACCACAGGTAGCCCAAGCACTGCACTTGTCGGCTTTTCTCTGAAGGTCTTGTGGGGAAAAACGAAAAATTCAATAAAAGTAGGAAATCTTACTAAAATGAATTCAAACTCACACAATATGTTGTTCTTAATTTATTACACATCTATGCGAAGTTTCAGCTCTCTGCAGTCAAAAAAACTGCTTTTTTTCTTAATGTTGGTCCCCTAGATAATAAATACTACAAGGTTGGCCAACTCCGAAAAGCGATCGACTCCAAACAATGCACATTTTCTCACCTGAAATCTCAACTCGAGCAAATTTCGACCTCACAGCCTCTTAGAACKATAAATTCCCTTTCCACACATACCAACTTCAAGTCATCAGATCGCTTTTCTAACATGAAAATCCCCAGGGTAAAACAATTTGAAAAGCAAATTTTTCGTAAATGTATGCTCAAATCAACGATCGGTACCCCCATAATCCTCATCGGTCAACGGTCAATGGAAAGGCGCACGTCCGATTGGTTGGTACATCTTTAGTACCGTTGGATTGTTCTCGTCCGACCAATGGACGTGCGCCTTTCCATTGTTATTCTCAAATAGTTTTTTTGATCCGTACATTTCTTTGTAAAATTTAACAAACATGTTTTTATGCTTTATGCGAAGTACCGCTGCTATTGCGGGCTCGTATGTCCGGTTTCTGGCCATGTTTGTACAAATTTAAAATTTCAAAACGATATTTTGCAGATATTCTGATAATTGATTCATCTTTCATTGATAATATATAAAAAAWWA